TACCCAGCCTTATTGGGGTCTCTGGGAGGAGTGCTGGAAAGTGCTCCGACTGGGGACTCCATCGTTCTACTGGGGGACTTCAATGCTCACGTGGGCAGCGACAGTGACACCTAGAGGGGCATGATTGGGAGGAACGCCCCCCCTGACCTGAACCCGAGTGGTGTTCAGTTATTGGAGTTCTGTGCTAGTCACAGTTTGTCCGTAACGAACACCATGTTCAAGCATAAGGGTGACCATCAATGCACGTAGCACCAGGGCACCCTAGGCCATAGGCCGATGATCGACTTTGTGGTTATTTCATCTGACCAGCGGACGTATGTCTTGGACATTTGGGTGAAGAGAGAGTCGGAGCTGTCAACTGATCACCACCTGGTGGTGAGTTGAATCCGATGGCAGGGGAGGAAGCTGGACAGACTCAGCTGACCCAAGCGTACTGTAAGGGTCTGATGGGAATGTTTGGCAGAGCCTCCTGTCAGAGAGATCTTCAACTCACACCTCCGGCAAAGCCTCAACCGGATTCTGAGGGAGGCTGGAGATATTCAGTCCGAGTGGAACTTGTTCTCCACCTCCATTGTCGAAGCGGCTGCTCTGAGCTGTGGACCTAAGGTCTCGATGCCTGTCGAGGGGGCAATCCCCGAACCCGGTGGTGGACACGGGAAGTAAAGGATGCCGTCAAGCTGAAGAAGGAGTCCTATCGTGCCTGGTTGGCCTGTGGGACTTCTAAAGACAGCTGACTGGTACTAGCAGACCAAGGCAGACTGCAGCCCGTGTGGTTGTGGAGGCAAAAACTCGGGCCTGGGAGGAGGTCGGTGAGGCCATGGAGAAGGACTATCAGCTGGCCTGGAAGAGATTCTGGCAAACTGTTCGGCACCTCAGAAGAAGGAAGCAGTGCCCTACCTATGCTGTTTACAGCGGAGGTGGGCGGCTGTTGACCCCAACTGGGGATGTCGTCGGATGGTGGAAGGAATACTTCGAGGTTCTTCTCAATCGCACTGTCACGTCTTAATGTGCTCTTTTTTGCAAGAAAATTATATCTAGGATTCAGACCGCATCATAGTACAGAAACTGCGCTAGTTAAAATTACAAATGATCTACTTTTAGCTTCTGACCAAGGCTGTATTTCAATACTAGTTCTACTTGATCTTAGCGCTGCATTCGACACTATAGATCATAAAATACTCTTGGATCGACTACAAAACTACACTGGTGTTAAGGGACAGGCATTAAGCTGTTTTAGATTGTACTTATCGGACTGTTATCATTTTGTCTGTTTAAATGGGGTAAAATCGAAGATAACATCAGTAGTACCGCAAGGATCAGTGTTAGGCTCTCTGCTATTCTCAATATATATGCTGCCACTTGGTAATATTATAAGAAAACATGGAATTAATTTACACTGTTATGCTGACGACACTTAATTATATATTTCATCACAACCAGATGAAAACACTCAGTGCCTCAAAGATATAAAATGCTAGATGACGCGTAATTTCCTGCTATTAAATTTAGATAAAATGGAGGTATTACTTATTGGTCCAAAAAACTACACACAAAGCCTCTTACAATACAACTTTAATACACGGATGTCCTGTTACTTTATCCGCTACAGTAAAAGACCTGGGTAAAAGACCTTAAAAAATAGTCTCGATAAGTCGAGAAGTTCGCTGAACTTCATACAGTTCAGATCACTCAGCACAACGTTCGTGGTTTGACTTATCGAGACTATTTCCTAAGATGGCTCCTGTCTGTATACGCGAAGTGAACTGTCTGTATAAAGTATCTTCTTATTATACGGTCTGTACACTTATAAAGTTCTCAATGCTTCGTTTTGCATGTATGGACCCTCATTATGTTACTGCGTTAGTGTGGGGCTATTTTGAGCCTTGTTAGTGGTATAAACTAGCGATTTATTTTTACTTAGTCAATGCCCCCATTACTAGCATTATAAGCTAAACAGTTTTTAGAGATAAAACTCTTTATTTGGATATCATGAAAACAAATCTCAGAGAACGGTCGACTAGGTACCGATGTTTTATTAGACCAAAGGTTCGTTGTTTGCCGGAGTTCTCCTTTAAGACCCTTATTCATCGTCTGGAATCGTTTAAAGCCCTTTGAACAGTTTGCACTGAAAGTGTCTTTTGGACCTTGAACCGTTTGGTTCCCATTGTAGTCCAATATATGGAGGAATGTTTTCAACAAAAACCTTAATTTTTCGACTGAAGAAAGAAAGACATGGACATCTTGGATGACATGGGGGTGAGTAAATTATCAGCAAACGTTTTTTTTTTTAAAGTGAACTACTCCTTTAAAGTGTTGTGCTGTTTTATAAAGGCACAAAGCCATATCATGGTTTTGATTTTAGTTTGTTGGCAAAATATAGCGCTAGAGACCTTTATGTTAGGGTATACATTTTACATCTCATATGTGTTGGGAAAAGGGAGAAGAGAGAGTTCAGAAAAAGACGGTTTCGAACTCGGGTCGAGAGCATCAGAAGCTTCAAGACCTACGACCTGCGCCACCGTAGCTATTTCGTGACAAGCTTCTTTTGCTAAAAAGACAGGCACTTAGTGCAAATATACGCTCCGTTATCTAAAAAGTAAAAAAAAAAAACCAATTCTTCCCCTCGCTTGGGCCCCAAGTGCGCATGGCCAACTTGCAATAAATAAATTTGATCAGATCGGCCCTCGCGGCCTCAAAACACAACCGGCCCACAGGGAAAATTCCCGACTCTCCCGATTGCCACTCCGCCCCTGGTGCCCAGGACCCCTTAGATGTCATGGGCCCCTGAGGCAAGAGCCCAGTTGCCCTAATGGTTAATCCAGCCCTGGTGGTCTGTGAGTGGTGTGTGCATCTGGCTCCTCCTAAATGGGCATCCTTTACTGTGCTGATCTGACAATCTTTGGTGGTTGCCACCGGGTATTAATTAGCCCTAAGAGCATAATAATTCTTTATACACAACAACAATAAAATAGCACAATGACAGGATTGATATGGTATACCCACTTTGTAACAAATAAATAAAAGATCTTTTTCACAAAAGTTATCTTGCTTTAGCTTTTGCCTCCGGCATCGTCCTGTCAGTCATCGCACCTCACTCTAGTCATGTGACTCCTGTGGCTCAACTTACCTCAGTATCTCCAATTTACACTTTATATTCTTCAGTCCAGTGCAGAGCAGCTTCACTCCTGAATCCTGCAGATTATTATTGTTCATGTTCAGCTCTTTCAGATTGGTGTCTGATCCAAGAACTGCAGCCAGAGCTGAACAGCTTTTGTCTGTTAAGTTACAACCATTTAACCTACAATAAAGTCACAACACAGAATTAGATTGAACACATACAATAGATTTTCTACATACTAATATTAATGAAATGTTCCACTTATTTTTTACACAAACAGCATATACAGCAAAGAGGCTGAGTTAAACTAACATTTACCTTTAAAAACTACAATTTCCTCAACAATAGTGTTTTTTTAAACAGTGACAAATTTCCAAGACAAAATGAAGCATGTTCGAAAAAATATTTGTGTAAAGCTGTTATCTATAGGATATTTTCTCTATTTATGTCACCTGATAGAGTTTAGGTTCTTGCCAGTGTTGCCTCTGTCTTTCTTAATTGGGGACACTTAATATTAGGGGTGTGCACAAAAATTGATTCACATTTGTATTGCAATTGGCTTTATGCCCAGCTGCACTTCTTCCTGAACTTCAGCCAGCTCCTTAGCCATTTCTCAATATGCGTACTTGTCTATACTTGTGGACTTGTGAAACGTCATCAGTCGCTGCCGAAGTACTGTTCCAATTCAAAGTTCACATCTAGCCAAGTCCACTTCAAATCCCCGGATGTGTTCTTGATCCGCCCGGTTTACCGAGGATGCATCGAGAGGTGACTTGTGTGGACTTGAGATAGCCAGGTAACCCAGACTGCACCTCGCACCAACCAACAAGCGTCAATAGGAGAGGAGAAAATCCGCGAAATATCAAAATACTACTGTTATTGAGTCATGAAATGTAATTTTAAGAGTGTTTCAGGCGAGAATGTGGTTGTTTAAATCTCAAATCTGTAGTTTATTTATAAAGATAGCGCCTATCTGAAAACTGCATCAGACGTTTTCAGACTCTGAGTTCTGACATCCAAGCCTTCAGCGGACACTCAGCGAGATCAACCCCGACTGGAACAGCTTATCCTCGGCTAGTGCTTCTGACGTTTGCCGCCGGCTCTGATCTCTCTATAGTGGATAAACCTTATAATTCGTCTTGTGTATAAGTCTATCTTTGGTCTAATTAAACTATAGTTTGTTCCATAGTTTTGGAGGTTTCATAACGTTATGGCTATTTAACTTTAACAACATTTTTTTATATTATCTTCATTATATGAGCAATAAAATAAAATGACATAACCCTGTCTCTGTTATATATATGATATATTATATGATAAATGTCAATAAAAATCAATGTTTCATATTTTTAAAATGAAAACAAAAAGATCATGTTCATTTTGTTATAAATATATGCAGTGAAGAGAATCGCGTTGCCTGAACCACATGGCCATTAGGCTAATGTTGTTTTTTTGTTAATGAAAAGAGGCAGAGTGGTGTTTTATAACATATTTCGTTTTATTGTTGACGAAAAGATGCAGAGTTGTAGCAAATTTCGTTTTATTGTTGCCTAAAATATAGGCTATATAAAGAGATAACCGGAGTAGCCAGAGTGTGCTGAGTGACGCGATCAAGTACGCTCTGTTCCATTTTTTGCAGAAGAACCGGACTTGCGTCCTCGCATCCTCGGGAGTTCGTTCTCCTGAGTCGAACTTGGCAAGTCTGAACTACCAAGGACGCAAGTCCGAAGTCTGCGTACTTGGTATTGAGAAACGCCTACTGTGTAGGACAGTCGATTGGCAGGAGCAGGGTTGGGCACAGCTGGTCTATATCAAGCAGGGTCACCTTTGTGTGCATTTTATTTTGTGATTTCATTGGAAAGAATAAAGAGTTTCCACAACGGCGATAGATTAAAGAGTGCGTCCGAGTGAAGACTGTGCGCGCACCACAAGAGTATGAAGTACCAGGTTGACTGGTGGTTAAGTTCTTGATTTAGCATGAGTGTTTGTTTGATCTGACTAGAGCACTTTAAAGCTAAATATGAAAGCTGTTTTTTTAAGTTTTATTTTAAACTTGAATTAAATGTATCTGAAAGCGGGCCAAAGCTTGGCATTTTGCACTTTTTAGTTGCAAAAGTTTTTATTTTTGTATGAAGATATAATGTAATAGCAAAATACATTTAATTTGTTGTGTTTCTTTTCTTTTAAATTGTATGTCTACTGCAATACTGTTTTTGCAAAAACTACAATAAAACCTGTTGGAAAGCATCTTTTGCAGTGATTTTTGTGTGAGCATATCAGTGAACACCCCAGACCCCTCGATGAGTTTCATGTCTTAGTAAACTAAAGTTTAATGCGTTTTATGAATGATTGTTCCAGTGCACATAGACAACCATTGTGTAGGTGGAGGGTGCTAACACACAAACCTAAAATTCTCGACACAGCAGCATTTGACCAAATTTCAATCTTAACCGTTCTATTTCATCAGAAACGATCTTAAAACAGGGCTTTAAGTGTAAAATACCGAACTAACCCTTTAAACTACAGAAGTACTCATAGAAATAAGCATTTAAATATATAATTACTGGGAGAAACTGAGGGACAACTAGTATATGATGTGGAGATATATAGGTATTTTATTTTAGTATCAAATTACATTATTTTCCCCCAGTTTGGGTAATATAAATAAAATATGGATTTTTTTCTTCCTCAAGTATAAGTAGGTGATAGCATATATAATTATATACGAGTCATACAAGTCTGGTGTATCATATGATACAAAACAAACATCCAAACAATTTTATATGGTATTTTATATTTTGTATTAAGTTGTGATAAACTGTCTCCACACACACACACACACACACACACACACACACACACACACACACACACGCACACACACAAACAGCTTTAAAGGTATAGCTTCATGTTTATAGGGATAAATGCATTTTTCAGATGAGAGTAAAACATGACAAAATATATAAAGACTTACAGTGCTCTTCTGGAGGCTTTAATGACTGCCAATAATCTAATGAGACACTCGTCTGATTTCTTGAATTTCTGAAGCTCAAACTCCTCCAGCTCTTCCTCTGATGTCAACAACACAAAGACTAAAGCAGACCACTGGGCAGGTGAAAGGTCACCAGATGAGAGACTTCCTTTGCTAAGGTGGGTCTGAATCTCATTCACCAGAGTTTGGTCGTTCAGTTCATTCAGACAGTAGAACAGATTGATGGATCTCTCTGCAGGAAGATTATCTGCTAATTTCTTTTTAATGTACTGAACTATTTCCTTGTTGCTCCGGTCAGTGCCGTCTCTCTTTGTCAACAGACCTCGTAAGAGTCGTTGAACTATCTCCTCGTTGCTCCGGTCAGTGCCGTCTCGCTGTGTCAACAGACCTCGTAAGAGTCGTCGATTGGACTGGAGTGACAGACCGAGGACGAAACGAAGGAAAAGGTCCAGGTGTCCATTGTCACTCTCCAGCGCCTTGTCCACTGCAGTCTTGAGGAAATCAATCATGGTTTCATTTCTGTTTTCCTGTTCTGTAGACTCATGATCAAACACACTTGTCTTGTTGATGTCTAGAAACAGATGTGCATAAAGGGCTGCAATAAACTCTTGAATGCTCAAGTGAACAAAGCAGTACATGGTACCAAGAACGATCCCTGTTTCCTCCTTAAAGATCTGGGTACACATGCCTGAGTACACTGATGCCTTATAGACGTCAAGACCACAGGCTTCCAGGTCTGTGGCATAGAAGATCAGGTTGTTTCTTTCCAGCTGATGAAATGCCAGTTTCCCCAGTGAAAGGATGGCGTCTTTATCCCAGGAAACATCTGGTGTGTATTCTCCATCATATTTCCGGCGGCTCTGCTGGATCTGAAAGCGGAGAAAGTGTGTGTACATTTGTGTCAGAGTCTTGGGAGTGTCTTCAGTGTTTGATTCCTGCAGTGTTTTAGAGATCTCATCAGTGTTTCTCACATCATTATTTCTCTTCTCCTCCAGAATGTTCTGGAGAACAGTGGCTGAAATCCAGCAGAAGACTGGGATGTGGCACATGATAAAGAGACTCTTTGATTGTTTAACATGATCTATGATTGTGTTGGCTTGAATATCATCCTTGAATCTTTTTTTGAAGTACTCTTGCTTTTGTGCGTCGCTAAATCCTCGTATCTCTGTCAGCCGGTCGATACAGTCAGGAGGAATCTTACTGGCAGCTGCTGGTCTGCTGGTGATCCAGACGAGAGCAGAAGGAAGCAGATTTCCCTTTATGAGGTTCGTTAGGAGAACATCCAGAGAGGCTGGTGACGATACATCACGCCACGTCTCATTACAGTCAAACTTCAGAGGAAGGCGACATTCGTCCAGTCCATCAAGGATGAACAGCACTTTGAACTGATTCCTTCTTGTAAGGTTCAGTCCTTTTGTCTCTGGGAAAAACTGAGTTATAAGGTCCATCAAACTAAGTTTTTCTTTCTCCTTTAAGTTGATCTCTCTGAATGGAAGAGGAAATATGAAGCTGATATCTTGATTTTCTTTTGCTTCAGCCCAGTCCAGAACAAACTTTTGCACAGAGACTGATGTAGATGTTATTCAGGAGTGTGGAGTCACCTTGCTTCGCCATTCCTTCAAACACACATTGATACTTCTTCTTTAGGCCAGATTTCAGCTGAGGAATGAAGAACAGCTCACCTAAACACAGGAACAGAAAATAGATAGTTTTAGTCTTCATTTTCTCTCCTACATTTATAAGAGACAATCAGACAGATGATGACGAGTCTCTTGCCTTCTAGAGCATCAGCAGCTTCATCTTGCTTCATCTCTCTCAGGTAATGTAGTGTGAGATCAAGAGCTGCTTCTCTGATACTGGATCTGTTCTCATTAAAGTCCTTCACAAAGTGTTTTGTGTTCTCATCTTGTAATATTTTCTTTAACTTCTCCAGTTCATTCTTCAGAAATGTGATTATTTTGCTCTCAAGATCCTACAAACAAAAGTAATAGAAAAGACAGAATAACACAATTTAAACTAAATTGTACATCTACGTTTGGTAACCACAATTTATTCAATAATAGGGGTGTCACGATTTCGATATTAAATCGAAATCAATCAAAAGTAATTCACAATCTCAAAAATTGAAATAAAAAATGGCATCGTCGATACTGCCACGCCACATGTCGCGCCCGTGATGGAAAGTTCGGATCATTTTACTGACTCTATTGATCAATCTCGTTCATCAAAATTAACTAACCTTTTTTCTAGTCATTTCAGGGGCTTTTAAATGTTATACTTTTAACAGGCAAATTCCCCGAACATTAAGAAGAAATCATAATGCAGTGAAAAATAATTTACAGGGAACATAAATAATTACTTTACCTTCCGATTTTGTTCATTTGTCGCGTGACAAAGGCATTGAACGGATTGTTTATGATGAATGACTCATTCATGATGAACGACTCATCACAGCATGGAAAACAAAACACTGTGTTGAAAGGCTGCGAGTCCACTAACTAATACATCATGGCAACTGCAGATATCAAAGACCCATCAACGGAACTTGAACACCCTCCTGTTTCTCTGAAGTTGCTGGTGTGGAGGTATTTTGGATTTGCAGTGCGGTATGTTGACAACATTCGCGTTGTCGACAAAAAAGCCACAGTTCGCAAGCTCTGCTATGTGCGTGTCCCATATTCGTCCACTGGCAACACGACTAACATGGCTGCGCATCTCCGCAGGCAGCACAAATGTAAATTTATCGGTCAAACCAACAACTGTAACACAAACTACTCTCCCGTCTTCATTTGGAATTAAACTTCCAAGTAACTCTACTCGTGCAAATGCCATTACCAGCGCCTTAGGAGTATTCATCGCCGCAGATATGCGACCTTATTCGGTGGTGGACAAACGGTTTTAGGCATTTAATTAGTGTGCTAGAACCGCGCTACAAAATCCCAAGAAGGACGCATCTCACAACTACGGTGATACCCTCTGTTACAAATACACAATAATAATATACATAAAATGTATTTAAGGGGGGCCGGAAGGCCAATTTAGCTTAAAAAGAATGATTCATTGATTTACAATGAATCTTAACTGAATCACTATGGGGCCGAGCAAATGACTCGTTCAGAGTTCATTTGAACGGGCCGTAATTATAACCTTTGCAACGGATATAAATATCCAATCTATAGTGAAACACTATGTATTAGCAAGGTAGCTTAAATCTGCAGTTCAAGACATTAAATGTGGAAGCACAAAACAAGGCAACAACAAGACTTTATTAGCTATTCTAAACACATAAAACTAATATCTAATGCACTCACACACACACACACATTCATATAGTCGTGGAAAGGAAGGGAGAGAGAAAGAGTGAGTTGGAACCATAGACTGTAAAAAATATGGACGTAGTATCCGTGACGTCGCCCATAGGTTTCTGAAGAGCGTTTTTGAAGCCTAAAGTGGGCGGGGCTGGCCATCGCCATCTTGGCAGTGCGTCACCTCTCGTCACTACCGGATAAATTAAAATGGGCAAAGAGGTGGGACGCGGGTGGAGCTGAGGTACTCAATACATGGCTCTGGCTATATGCTACTGCCCTCGCGCTGAATTGACAGCTGATTGAAAAAGGAAAGCCAATGGTTAAAGTTCATGTTTTTGCCCTTCAAAATATAATAATAGTTAAGACGTAACTAAAAGTGAGATTATTTACTTTACTTTTTTATCAACTTTATTAATCTCACAAGGGGCAATTAGTTAAGAGCATGTATACAAGTACATAACACAGATCACACACATTTCTCACAACATACAAGCAGTCAACTATGTGCATCGTGATGCATTATTATTCTGTTAGTTAAAAACAGTCCCTCCAGGATTTCACGATTTTTTTTTTTTTGTGATTTTTACGATCAAAATGACTGATTTTGTGGTGGTAATTTCCAAAAATTTGTGAAAAAACTTGCGATTTATATATAACATTTACCATAATAATTCAGTCCTTCCAGAAAAACGCAGAGTTTTTTTGTGATTGTTGCGGGCAAAATTTGATTGATTACGCGGCCAGTTTTCTTTAAAAATGCGATGGAATATGCGAGATATTTATACAATTTTATGCGATGAAATTGCAGGAATTTGCAAAAATTGAGGGAACTTGCAAAAATTGCAGTTTGATGAAAAAGAGAAAAAAAGTGATTCCCCCAACATCCTGTTCTCACTAGGCTAATGTAAGAGTCATTTCTTATTACTTCCTTTGATAAGCAAGCATACTACATCATAGAAAGTGCTGTGAATATTTAATTTTTCATCTTGTTTTATTTCAGACTGTAACGAGTGTAAATAAGGTGTGGCCCCTTTAAGAGCTGCGCGCTCCCTGTTGAACTCTCTGCAGTGTTATATGTGCGCCTCGAACCCATGTGTGCGGGTAATTTCTGTTTGATGCTACTTATTTTATCTTATGTTGTTTATTAAGTAACGATGTGATGGTAGAACGTGTGACAGACAGTTATACGAGATGTCAATCGCTTCCGTGAGTCTGTCTGGCGTCGCGTAATTGCGTCACTTCATAACGTTCCCATGGAAACAGGGGGAAATGGCTGCTCTTGTGTGAAGCAAACGCAACATTTTTCAACTTTCTGCTAAGATACATGTGACTTTTTTTGCAACGAAAATGCGAGGATTATGAAATTATGCAAACCCCGCATATTTTGCACGGAAATCGGCAATTTATGCGGCGAAAGTGCGGCATATTTGAAAAAATGCGGCCCCCGCATAATATGCGGACTTCGCATAATCGCGTTTTTCTGGAGGGACTGTAAAAATGTATTAGTTACTTACAATATTGCTCTAAGCTTGTGCATGTGACAGTGATTCAAGGCAAGCACATATGTCAGTCGGCATCTCACGTCTAGTTCGTAAAGAGCTTTAAGTCAGTCCATTTTACAATCTGATTTTGGCCGCCTCTCAGTTTCTCAGATGTTAAAAACAGTAAATGTATTAGAAATCCGCGCTCATTCAAGGGTGTGCAAAGGTATGTGATGCATTAAGGCTAATGTGATGATTATGATGAAATAACCATGTTATTCTGTAAAGTAGAATTCTGTAAATTTAATAATAATATTAATTGAAAATAATATTTCAATATGACTAATCACCATATCCTTTCTGATTGTTGTTGTTACACTCAAATATAATTTCTGCCTTAAACAACTGGTTTTGTATACAGTGCCCTAGCTCCACAAGATGTGGTCGAGGACTTCTAAAAATTCTCCCTTTTTTTTAAACAACATTGAACCCAAATGCAAAAAAGAGAAAAATCCAACCTTTTATTTAAGTACATTACTTTGGTGAAAAACAAAAAACAAACTTGAAATCATGTGTCCCACAATTATTGGCACCCCTAACAATTCCGCTGAAAAATGTAATTTATTTTTATATATACGTATATTTTTCTGCAGTTGCTAAAGTTGGTCAGGATATCTAGGAACTTTTAATTAGTAATTCATGACTTCCTCTTTCCCCGGGGTATAAATATGACGTGACACAGAGGCCTAATTCTCTTACCCATTTGTCAACATGGCAAAGACAAGAGAACACACCATTCAAGTAAGGCAGATGTGTGTCGACCTTCATAAGTCAGGCAATGGCTACAATAAAATAACCACCTTAACTTGCCCGTATCTACAGTTAGAGGAATCATTAAGAAGTTTAAAACAACTGGAAAAGTGACAAACAAGGCTGGAAGAGGTCCCAAGTTTATCTTGCCACAACGCACTGTGAGGAGGATGCTAAGAAAAGTAAAAAAAAGTCCTAAGCTCACTGTCACAGAATTGCATCAAATAGTGGCATCTTGGGGTCACAAAATCTCCAAAACAACCATCAGACGCTCTCTACATGCCAACAAGATGTTTGGGAGGCATGCTAGGAAAAAGCCTTTTCTCACTAACACTGACAAACGTAAACGTCTGGAGTTTGCCAAGCGGCACTGGGACTTTATCTGGGATCGTGTGCTTTGGTCGGATGAGACTAAGATTGAGCTTTTTGGCAACAAACACTCTAAGTGGATCTGGTGTAAAACAAAAGATGTGTATGCCGAAAAGTACCTCATGCCCACCGTGAAGTATGGTGGAGGATCTGTGATGCTGTGGGCCTGTTTCTCTTCCAAAGGCCCTGGGAACCTTGTTAGGGTGCATGGCATTATGAACGCTTTGAACTACCAGGACATTTTAAATAAAAACCTGATGGCCTCTGCCAGAAAGCTGAAGATGGGTCGTCATTGGGTCTTTCAGCAGGATAATGATCCAAAACGTGTGGCAAAATCTACACAAAAATGGTTCAGTCACAAACTCAAGGTCCTCCCATGGCCATCTCAGTCCCCAGACCTCAATCCAATCGAAAACCTGTGGGGTGAGCTAAAGAGGAGAGTGCACAAGAGAGGGCCCAGGATACTGGATGATCTAGAAAGATTTTGCAAAGAAGAATGGTCAAAGATCCCTCTCTCTGTATTCTCCAATCTTGTGAAATGTTATAGGAGGAGATTAAGTGCTGTCTTGTTGCCGAAAGGGGATCAGGGGTGCCAATAATTGTGGGACACATGATTTCAAGTGTTTTTTTTTGTTTGTTTTTTTGTTTGTTTTTTACCACCAAAGTAATGTACTTAAATAAAAGGTTGGATTTTTCTCTTTTATTGCCTTTGGGTTCTATGTTGTTTAAAAAAAGGGAGAATTTTTAGAAGTCCTCGACCACATCTTAAACAGGGGTGCCAATTTTTGTGGAGGGCACTGTATTTCAGTCTCATGCCTCAGGAGAAGGGTCCAGTCAAAACCCTGCAGAGGATCCAGAAACTGTAGCAACCGGCAGAGGCAGCCCCCAAGCAAAGAGAACAGCACTCAGTGAACTGTTTGGTGATTTTTTTTTTCAGCACAGCCTCCACTGCAGCAGCATCATCAGCAGCAACAAAACCATGGCCTGATGTTGTGAAAGATGAGATTCAGCTATACAAAATGGTTAAAGAAATTTCTGTGGATTCAAATCCACTGAAATGGTGGAAAGATAATGAGCACCAGTACCCAAATTTGTCCAAGCTTGCCAAACGTTACCTTGCTGTACAAGCAACAAGTTTGGGAAGTGAGAGAGTGTTCTCAACAGCAGGGGACATTGTGACATCTCAAAGAGCAGCCCTCTCTCCAGAGAATGTGGACATTCTCATTTTCTTAAAGGAACAGTCCACCGTTTTATGAAATATGGCTTATTCTCATTCTTTCCTACATTTAGATATGTGTGCAAATGCATTTTTGTCTCAGTGCATGCATTGTTTTAGTTTGACAGTGTCGGCGCTATCTTAGCTTAGCACGATGAATGGAATCCTTTGTTGCCAGCTAGCATGTGCTGAGTAAAAGTGATTAAAAAAAATAAACAAACCCACGTAATTACTTCTTGTGGCCTGCGTATTCACAACGAGTACAAATGGTGATGCAGATTAACACTAGGCGATTTCCTAGGCAGATGTGTAGGAAAGAATGTGAATAAGCCATTTTTCAAAAAACGGTGGAGAAGAACATGAAAATATAAAAATCACATTTGTTGTCTGCCCATAGAAATGTAAATAGTTAATGTTTTGACAGTATTTTAGTATTTTTCTAGCAGCTCTATTGAAACTGCTAAATTGTTACAGTTGTTCTATTAAAAAATTATAAATTTAAATAAATTATTTTTTTTTAAATCAAGAATCTAATCGAATCGTGACCTTAGAATCGAAAACTTAATCGAATCGAGGATTTGGAGAATCGTGACACCCCTATTCAATAATTATATTACACGTATATAAAAAATCCAGTTCAAATACTAAAATGTTGGGCTTAAATGTGTTTAAAAGGGAAAAAAGAATATGAAGAAAAATGTAATTAAATTTCTTTGTTCAATAACATATTTGTTTGTTATAAATGTTAAACATTTATAAAAATGTGTTTTCTTACCTGGAAGATCCCAAGAAGATTGTCTTTGAAATTCTCGTGGTTCCTGTGAGTCTGAAAGTCTGAGTCTAATGTCTCATATTGAAGCCTGAAATCACATTAGTGAAATAAAATACTAACTGATATTTTACAGAAAGAGAAATAAGCATTAGCTGTGAATACTCTGACAAATATTTGATCTAAACATGTTTCATGATTGGTATTAGGGGTGTAAATCGGAGCCTGCATGACGATTCGATATGATACCGATTTCTTAAGTCAACGATTCGATTATTTTCGATACTTCAAAATTCCCCGCGATACTTTTTAATACTCGAATTTAATACTCGATTAATACTCGATATTTTTCCATGATATCTATTAAGTTTCAAATAAATCAACAAAAAATTTATATTTTGCCTTTTATTGATAATACCGAAACAGTATTCTATTCACAGTGTGCATGTTGTGCTCAAAGCACTGCAAATATAACAGTTACTGCATCTAAAGTTACAATAAAGTGGCATCAGATAAATTATAATTAGAACAAAATAAAAATAATTAAGTCTAATGCTTACAGTGCAGGTCTACTATGGCCAATTAGCCTATTCACTGTTAAAACAAACAAACAAAGACTGACCTCTACAGCCTAAATTTCAAATACATCAACCCTGCAGTTATCCGGATAATAAGTGTTCTGATCTTACCGATTCCATTTATGCCTGGCCACATAAATGTGTTTATGCAAAATGGATATAAATCCGATCTTCAACTCCCGCGTTATATGCAGGTTTAATGGATTGCACGACACCAAAAGCAACAGATATGAGCTGCATTTTATTGATCTTCAGCTAATTTCAAAATCAAAGACAGCAAAAAGAGAGTGGCAACAGCCCTGGTAAGAGATCATTTCGTTTCTTTACATGAAGATGATTGTGTGTTAAGCGTCTGTGACTTACTTTCACTTTTATTTGTGATGTTTGCACGTTGGCTTGATGAACAGATGCTCATCTGAGGTGATGCGTATCGCAGTAGCGCCGTCATATCTGACTATAACATGACATATAGCCTATATAACACGCTCTCACTCGTTTATTTTTTAGCATTTTTGGGAGGAGTAAAATATACATTTGTGGTTTCAACAACCAGATTGCGTTTACACCTAGTAAAGATCCGAACACAATGCGAGCCAGACTACCTCCAGATGTGGTCAGGCAGATCCGATCACAACGTATTTACACCTTGCATTAACATGCGTTTTTTTTATTATCCGGATAACTTATCTGGAAACAGATCGCATTTTAATACCAGGAGTAGGCTAAATGAGGTCCCAGTTTCAGCGCGCTGTGACGGTTCCATTGTTCTTTAAAGTCAGACTCAACAATGTGTGTATGCACCCCGTGAACGTGAAGCGTATAACGCGTATGAATTACAACAATGAGGTTAGCGCCACCCGCAGCTTAGCAGTAGGTTGCACGCACACGTCGAAGCAGATGCTGAAAATAGACAGGCGGCAAAATAAACGCATTAATCGATTCTCTTGCGGACGCATCGATGCATTGAATCGTCGGCTGTATAATCGATGCATCGATGCAAATCGATTAATATTTACACCCCTAATTGGTATTCACTGATCCAACTTTTAAACACAGTCAATGTGTGACAAAAAATGAGTAACACAAAATACCTTTTATTAGATGATGGTGTTTTCTCACTGAAGAATGGTGGAAGTCCTTCTTTAGACTGATCACTCTTCAGAGACACAGAGCTGGACACATGTGAGTCTGATCTTACACTGATGACACAAAGAACATTTGAAAAGGTTTAATGTTGCAAATAGTAATTAAATGCAGTATAGCTGTGCATTTTTTCATTTAGAACTACGGTTGGATGGATGGACATGTTTAGTTGCATGATTTATTTTCCATGTTGAATTTATGCCGCTTGTGTCTGCCTGTGTAACTGTGTTACTGGAGTGAGTTTCATAAATCCCCTTACACAGTCAAGTTCAATCACACACACCACTGTGGACAAATAATACAACCCTATATTGTAATGTAAACACACACAATACCTTTTATTAGATGATGGTGTTTTCTCACTGAAGTCTGGTGGAGGATCTTTAGACCAATCACTCTTCAAAGACACAGAGCTGGACACATGTGATCCTGATCTTACACTGATGACACAAAGAACAGAGAGAGAGAGAAAACACTTTAGTAAAGGAGGATCAACTGTGTCTGAAACACATCTGTGTCTTCATCTAATCCTCCACAGAAACACATACACACACACACACACACACATACAGTTTTATAGTTAACCATCATTTTATTTTACTGGCTCACGTTAGTTTAACAATTTCTTTAATATACAGGCGTGAGATTAAACATGTTAAAAAATACTTCAATTTAGGAGAACATTTCAAGTTTTTATTTATTGACAGAATAGAAAGCAGAAATGTCTGTGCGACACAGTTTTGTTATCATACTTGAATTAAATTAAGTGTATAGTTGTTTTCTAATGTCTGTCAATAATTTTATGATCTAAAAACTAAAGTAATTTATTTGGATTAATTCAGCATCTAGAAGGTTATTAGAGGAGACTATGCAGTTATTTTAGCTTAATTTAACAGCTTCAGAGTTATTGAAATGGTTATATGACTTCTTTCGGGTTGAATGGGGGGCGTCTCGACCCCCCCTGGTGCCTGTGAGCGGAAAAATCTCACCTGCAACTTCGGTGTGGCGAGCCGCCGGCCTTAGCGTCAGGAAGTATCGCGTGATATCAGCTCTCGCGATGTAAAATATTTCTTTACGGCAACACTGCACATATCCAGGAACACGGTCGAGTTTGTCACACTATCGTCATGGCTGAGCCGGCATGTAAGATATAGAAAGCTAGGAAAGCATTGTCGGAGGAACAGAGAAAGAGGAAATAGCAGACTGACCGAGCGAGGAGTAAGACACGAACATAGACGTAATGTGCGGGTGTGATATATGTCCCCATATGTACCAATGCAAATAAAACATCTCCAGGTAACTCTAGTAGAACATTTATTTAGTTTGTTTGTTAAGAGGCGAAATCAAGTGACCAGAGTGCTCGTTGTGATCAGTTTCAGTGATTCAGTGTTCTGTTGTGACGTGCACTGTCTTCAAACGGACGACGCGCGCTCAATCCATTGCGGGGACTGAGAGACTCATTACGGTGAAATCACAAAACCCAATGCATAAAAAACATGTCCCTGCTTGAAATACAGCCACTAATAAACAATCGGTGTTGATGAGGAAACTAAACTATTAGTAAGGATTAGAACCCAGAAGCTGTGACACACATGGCAAAAGTTCTGCCTCTGGACCATTAAAGTTCATGGGGATTAGGGATGTTAACCGATGACCGTTTGACCGATGGTTGCCCAGATAGCAGACTGACATTGAATCAACGTGGAAACATGACATCGAAACAACGTTGATCTGACATTGTTTTGCTCATCGAATTAACGTTGAACCAACGTCAGACGCGTCATTCTTTCAAAACTAACGGAAAATCAACTTGAAATCAACGCGTTGTTTCAACGTTATGAAAGCAAACCAATTTTCGATTTTCATTTAGCTTTGAAGAATGCCGCATCTGACGTTGGTTCAACGTTAATTCGATGAGCAAAATCAACGTTGTTTCAATGTCATGAGAGACGTCGTTTCCACGTTGATTCAATGTCAGTTTGCTGTCTGGGTGACCATATCAACGTTAACCGATCAAAGTTGGCGGTAGTTGGTATAAAAAAAATAAATAAATAAAAACATTTGGCGCGAGGTCACAGCGTTTGGGTTCGTGTCGCACACCGGAGTGACCAGACGAGAAGTGCTGCGTCGCGCCACGTAGGACAACTCCAGTATCGCACACCGGACGAGCACTTTCTCATCAGTGTATGTATGGCCAGCAATATTGTTTTGTTTAATGACATGAAATGAAGATAATGTCTGTTCTATGTTTTGATTGTACTGTACAATTAAATACAATCGTTGCATAAATTATACTTGCTGATTTTTAAAAGACGATAATGCCTACAAAAACGACTGGATTGGGACTACAGCTGGGTTATGGTACGTCACTAACCTACACATTTGCATCAACCCTCCCTCTGAATATGCAGAAAATGGCATGCGCATATTTCTGAGGCACGTCGACTCGTTGAATGTGATGTTCACGCAGCTGTCAGGTCTTCTGTGTTCAGGCTTCCCACAGACGCTGTACTTCCTCAACAATGGATACAATTTATGTTTGATTATGTTCCTGAAAATGACGATGGTAATCTAGCTCTCTGTGCTGCTCATTTACGGAAGACAGCTTCCAGAATCTCCACGAGTTCAACAACGGATTCAACAAGAAACTGTTACTAAAACATGAAGCAGTTCCGACTTTAAAACCAGAGACAGCAGTTGTTGGGCCACAATAGGGTTGTGCCGATAGACGATAGTATCGTGTATCGACGATAGTCTGACATATCGCCGATGGCAGATGCCTTTGACGATATCAATACGATAATTGGCTAGTTTTACCTTAATGTATTAAATTATTATTATTAGGCCTATTATTATTATTATAAAGCTAGTATTGTTATTAAATGAATATTAGGAACTACAATTAATTTGCCTTGCCTAAATTTACAACGACATCACCTCATAACAATTGCAACAACACACGCACTAATGAGGACTCCTCTAAGAGAATGTTTTTAAAACAGACTAAAAAAACATCCCACATCAAAATTCAATCGCAAGGTGATCCATTCACAAATTATCAAGTGTGCTCGTTTTAACAGACGCAAAATTCAATTTCCTACAGATCCAAGATGAAAACGGCATCGTTGTTCGTCAGTATTTGTTTCCGTAACACATTAACAAAACGTTTAATGACACTAACACTAAAAACAATACAATTACTAAATAGTATTAATAATAATATCACTAAAATAGTATTATAGTTACCGTTATCATCGTCGTCTCTGAGGGAACGCGGCGTTAATGCAGATGCCGAAAGCAGTCCGTTTTTACTTTCACTTTCAGAGATTGAGCGCGTTTACATGCGACGACGTTCTTAACCTGATTATGTTAAATAAACATGACAATGCATGTGGTCATGTAAGCGTTTCCTTTATCAGAGTCAAGTCATAAGTATAAGTATAAACCGATCGACTCAACTAGATGTTTGGCCCTTGCTCTTGTTTCTATCGGCATTTAAAACACATTAACCCGCGTACTTCGTGCTTACTGAAGTGCGCATGTGAAGTGCGCAGAGAGCGCACTGGTAGGGGGGCACATATCGCAAACTCCGACTCTTTCTGACCCAAGAAATTATTAAAACGTGTTTTCATCTCGTGCAGAAATAGACCAAAATGCTGCATGTAATGGCATGAGAATAGGCTAATGTGTCCGTAAATTTCCCGTTGACAAACAAAAGGATTAGGATCTCTTTTTTTTACTTCACTATACCAGGAAATAACCTGATCCTATTAATAAACACTTTGCTAGCAAAATAGAAAAAAGATTATCGTATATAAAACGAAGTAGGCTAATAAAACAAGCAAATTAATGAGTAGGCTAAATAATCAAGTTAATAATCAAATAAGTTAGCCCCGCCCCCTCACGATAATATCGTGTATCGCCGATCTCACAGGCTGACGATAGGACGATATGAAAATGGAGCATATCGCCCAACACTAGGCCACAACCTGTAAGTAGGCTAAGACTTCATCATTTTAAATGTATTTTCATGTATAATTCCAGACGTAGCCTTGTGTTTTATTTTTTTCAAATGCCAGCGCTGGCTTTATAGCCACTACTAGTTAGCCTATGCTATTTTGTGTCTACGACAAACGCATACAAACATTATGGATCTGAATTTTGTATAAGTACTAATGTTGTATATGTATTTTTCATGTATATATGCTTTATGACGTTATTTTCGATTTGATCAAGAACGTAAACATGCCAACGCTGTTTAACATTAGTAGCCACTGCCAGTCAGTTGCTATTGTTGCCAGTCAGATGCTATTGTGTAAAACAAACGTGTATAAAGTTAAAAAAAAAATGTAGCAAATTATCATTCAGAAACGTTTAGTAAGAGCGGTGTGTGGTGAGGTTCTGTGTTCTCTCTTTATCGCCGCTTTCTCGGTCTGATTCTGCCTGAAACTGATACTGCAGTTCGACACATATTTACATCTGGACCGGAGCTCATGACGTTCCCATTTCGCCCATAAAGGTAATGGGCGTTAACATTCCGGACAACGTGAGCGACAGTTTAGCCAATCACAACACACCGGGCCAAACTAACCAATCTGAGCCCACGACGTGTTTCTGAGGGAGTGTTTTCATAGACTCAGAAAGTGAACCGCTCGTTCGAGGACAGAGGAGAGCGCGGCTGACAATAAAGATGAAGTTTATGAAAAATAAGACTTTTAAAAAAAGAAAAGACACGAATACATGTTATATCGCACCCCATAAATACAATCCTGCAAAGAAAAAAAGCAGTCAACCCCCCCTTTAAATGAATGCAAAACTACATGTATGTTGGAGCATAGGGTGCAGTCAGAATACATTAGCAACGGTGTGAGACAAAAATAATTAAAATTTTATATAAAACTATGTAAATGTGCTAAAAGGATTTTGAACACGGTCCTGAGTTGTTGCTGGGCGCCGCGGACAGACGCTGATTGGCGCCGCCGGTGTGTGTACACTCATAGAGAATAATGTATTCGAATTTGAAAGATGTGTCTCTCCGCGACGCGGTGCCGAGCTTCTCGTCCGGTGTGCGACCCCCTGGACTCGTGTTTCGCGCTGTATGGAGATTTTAAAAAAGTGACATGAGTGGAAGGACGGCGCCGGGGCTGTGTGTGTGTGTGTGTGTGCGCGCGCATATTTTTAAACCAATCGGTTAACCGGTATCAACCGGCTAATGAGGCGGTCGAAAATTTTGGTCGGTCAAGAAAATTTTTAGTTTTCGCCATATGTACGCCATATTCGGGATATGTACGTGAAACGGGATATAAACGTGAAAATGCTCACCACTAACAACATATATTAGATCTCATTAAATGACAAATTAAACACAATGTACTATTGTATACTATGTAACACGTCACGCTCTCCATGAGTGGTATTTACGACAGTAAAGTTAAAAACAAGTACTCCACAGTTACTCTAGGGGTCGCTGTTTGACAAAAACAGGATTTCTGCCTGGTGTCCGTTTATGTTAATTTAAGAAGTTAAAATTGAAGTTGGTTTAAGTATTTGCAAATATAGAGTAATGCTTAAAGTTGTGTTATAGACAGAGAAACACAAAGTCCAGTGGAGTTTAAAGTGAGAGTGTGAAAACAGACGCAGTCTCACCTGTGTTTCTCTGAGAGACTCATCTGAGAGAGAGAGTCCTTTCCTCTTTCATCTGACATACTGCAGCTAAACTGACCCTGAAAACTGATCAGAAAACACTCAATCCTTCAGCATCACCTGCAAATCACAACATTTACACACATCAACAACATCTTATTGAAGAATAAAGACTTATCATCAACAGCAGCAAGAGTAAAAACAATGTATCAAATAAAGTGAGTTACAAACAAATATATTGCCATGGAAAATAACCAAATGGTCTTAAAGGGTTAGTTCACCCAAAAATGAAAATTAAGTCATTAATTACTCACCCCCATGCTGTACCAAACCCATAAGACCTTGGTTCGTCTTCGGAACAAAAATGAAGATATTTTTTTTTATAAATTTGAGAGCTGGATTCACTGCTACATAGGCTCCTAAGGGATTGAAACTTGACGGCCCAGAAAGTCAATGAAGAAAAAGTTTAAATATTCCATGTGACAACAGTGGCTCAACTATAAGTTTATCAAGCGACGCGAATACTTTTTGTGTGAAAAAAACAAACAAAAATAACGACTTTAGTTGTCACATGAAATTTTGTACGATGTACAATAACATTTTCTTCGATGACTTTCTGGGCCGTCAAGTTTCAATCCCTTAGGAGCCTATGTAGCAGTGATCCACCTCTCAGAATTAATCAAAAATATCTTCATTTGTGTTCCGAAGACGAACGAAGGTCTTACGGGGTTGGTACAGCATGGGGATGAGTAATTAATGACTTAATTTTCATTTTTGGGTGAACTAACCCTTTAATCATTTCTGATTGTTTAATGAGTTTAACCGACTCTAAATATTAATTCATTGGGGAACTCAAATGTACACTGTGCTGGAAAACTGAACCCAATTTGTTATTTTCTCTATTACAAAATAATATCATTTTATAATCATATTTACCCAATCTTTATTAATTGTTGAATCGTCTGTCATTTAATCATTACTTCAAGTTCACAATGATGGTTAATTTCATTACTTTCAAATGACCCTAAAATAACTGATTGAGTTCAAAAATACTTTCCATTTCACATCACACAAACAACAGCCTGAAGAGGACACGGCTGAGGAAGAGGAAATTGGAGAAAACTTTCAAAAACATATTCGTTTTCAATAAACCTTTCTCATTAAAACTTAATGTTTTAACTTCAAAAGATTGTAACTTCTGGCAGATTTTTCTTCTGTTCGGAGTAGCCATAAGGGCACTTGGGCGAGTGCCCAGCGGCACCAACCATTCACAACAACTAGGGGGGAAGTGGGGATGTAGTTGACACCTTTGCTTGCGCAAAATCAAGCAAGAAGCAGTTCTGCTAAACTTATTACAAGAAAACGTTTTATCAGATTTAGTGCTACACTTATTGTCTTATTTGTTCCCCACTAAATAATTTTTTTTTTTTTTTAATAATAATAATGGGGGGGCGGTTCACTAAATTTTCAGATTTTATACAATTATTGCACTGGAACGGCAGTCAAACCCGTGACTTCCCACCCGTGAACTCGTACTAGATCCATGTACTCCCAGTTGCGAGCTGACGTCACATTGCCCGCCAAACCACAAAACAACAACGGCAGCCCCTACGGATGCAGTTTTTCTGCAGGCGGTACACGGTGAGAATACACGTTAGGACAATATAACATAACTAGTTTTCAGTCCATTGAGTGCAAGGATAAATTAATACCAAATACATTTCCTAACATACAAATAAAGTAAAACAAAAGGTATAACAGCTTTATCTTGCCTTCAAGGTGCTCTATGTATTTTTAGCGGCCTCTAGCGGTGATGTTTCAGATTGCAACAAGAGCGCTCGTGCTCGTGTGAGTGCTCGATCTCAAGAGCGAGCATTCATTACCGGCCACACGGAGACTTTCAACGCAACGGCGAAAGCATCACACTACATGCTGGAAACTCATGTAAACTCCCACTGCAACGTTACAATAATAGACTACTTTAATCAGCTTGACAGCTCAACTACTGCTCCGTGCTCGTACCATGATAACATTACAGTGACTGCAAAAAATACAACCGTATATTTAGAATGCCTGAAAATGAATTACAATCACATGTAAAATATCCATACTATCTGTCATGTTCCGGCGTGCAAGTGTGTAAATGACTATATATCGGTAGCCTGACTTTGTCATACTCATATTCAAGAGAGAATATGAGTCTGAAACTCCTCCGTAGGGCTTTGATTATGAGGCGTGTCGTAACCGAACCAGGAAAAAAAAAACCTCTGCACTCAATTGGATAGTCGGTAGACCTACAACCAATCAGAGCAACGCAGTAAGTCAACTCCTTTGCATAGCGCAGTTTTCAAATGCAGAACGTAGCCTACTTTATTTATTTTAGAAGTTAAAGGGTTAGTTCACCCAAAAATGAAAATTAAGTCATTAATTACTCACCCCCATCCTGTACCAACCCCGTAAGACCTTCGTTCATCTTCGGAACACAAATGAAGATATTTTTGATTAAATTTGAGAGCTGTATAAGTTAACTACCACACAGACTTCCGGGACTGGCTCTTGACGGCCCAGAAAGTCAATGAAGAAAATGTTTAAATATCCCATGTGACTACAGTGGCTCAACTATATGTTTATCAAGCGACGAGAATACTTTTTATGCGAAAAAACAAACAAAAATTACGAGTTTATTCGACTATTCCTTTTCTTCCTTGTTGGCCTGAAACGAGACTTCCTTAGATTTCCACGCCGCATGCGCGAGAACTGAACTGAAGTAGTTGAAGGAGATCGCAATTCTCGCGCATGCGTCGTGGAAATCTAAGGAAGTCTCGTTTCTGGCCAACAAGGAAGAAAAGAAATAGTCGAATAAACTCGTTATTTTTGTTTGTTTTTTCGCACAAAAAGTATTCTCGTCGCTTGATAAACATATAGTTGAGCCACGGTAGTCACTTGGGATATTTAAACATTTTCTTCATTGACTTTCTGGGCCGTCAAGAGGCAGTCCCTTAGGCAGCCAATGTGGTAGTTAAACAGCTCTCAATAATCAAAAATATCTTCATTTGTGTTCCGAAGACGAACGAAGGTCTTACGGGGTTGGTACAGCATGGGGGTGAGTAATTAATGACTTAATTTTCATTTTTGGGTGAACTAACCCTTTAAATAACGAGTGTTGCTTCTTTTACTTACTTCTCCATGAGTGCCACCAAAGGAGAAACCACAACGACCACAGGCTTTTCATTACGTCCCATCTTCTTAACGACCGTCAGAGCCAGCTGATAAGTTACACTTTTCCCCAATCATGTAGGAAGGACGCCAAAAATATCTTTCCGATCGACAAATGCCTTAATTGCAGTTTTCTGTTCGTCTATTAAAATAAATGCGCCATCGATTTATTTTTCACAAGACGCGACAGCGGAATCTATACATCTCAATTCTCCAGCTGCAGTCATCTTCGACAAGCGCTCTTTGATAACGTGATGATTACGTCCCTGCAGATCATCTGTCCATCATCGTTTAAAGCCCGCCCTGGCAATTTGATTGGCCCGATCATTTTTTGCCTGATCATAATTACTCCTCAATGGATCGAGTCCAGACCGAACTTCCCGACCAAAAAATGTTGTGGGCGGAGTTCGGGCTGGCATCCAGGCTAATATATCGGTACAATGACAATAAAGCTAACCTAACGCTACGAAACCGTTGTTTTGTACCAAGTCATAATTTCTTTCAGAACCAACACTTAGCTGGTTATGTAATGTGTAAAGCCATAACGTTACAACTGTAGTATTTCACATCAGATAACGTTAGCAACTGGTCGCCGTTAGCCGGCGAACTAATGCTATCTAACTTGAGCCAACTAAAGCACAAAATCACAATATATTTTACATGCTTTGAAGTAATGTTAGTTTACCTGTCCAAAAGGAGGAAAGTCAACTTAGGATCTGTTTTTAGACCTAAAACAAAGCGGAGGTCTCTCCATAATTCAAAAGCTCTGCCGATGTTGAACCATGTTTTCATCCAAGTTGATCAGAATCACGTTTGGCCAGATGAGCTTCAGCAGATACAACTTTTTTTTTTTTTAGTTTTTTATATTTGGAGTTTGTATTGGAGTGTGTGTTGTGGTAGGTAGGTAGGTCGTTTTGGGGTGTTATCAGAATCCATGTCGTCAGCTGAAGTGCCGTAGTTCGCATGGACTGTATAAGGAGAGAGGCTCGGGAGCACGCACGCACGTCACATCCGATGGATTTCGCAGAAAATCTGACCCGGAGACCTCACATATAAATATGAATATTGGCCTTCAGAGGTAATAGAAAAACCCGACATTGTAATGTGTGATTACAACCCCCTCACACACAGGCAATAAAAAAATGACTCATTTGATAAGAAATGTTACATAGAGCACCTTTAAGCACCGTTTTTCCTCCTCCGTTTCCCTCAAATAAAGAAAGAGTAAGCACCTTTGGTGACTAATTATTACGGTAACACTTTATTTGAAGGGGTGTGCATAAGACTGACATGACACTGTCATAAACATGACGTAACACTTGTCATGAACATGAAGGAGTCTTTATGAATGTTTATGACTTTTGTCATTAAGTGTCATTCGGTAAATTATGACACTTTTAATGCAAAGTTGACATTGTTTAAAATGTCTTTGTTATGACAACTTGACATTAACCAAGACAAAAATGTCTTGATTATGACAACTTGACATTAACAAAGACAGAAATGTGTCATAACCTGTCAACCTGACATCTTTATAACTAGTCCAACGTGTTCCACTTTACTTGAGGTAAGGGGAAATATAACACTGTTGTTAAAGCATTTGACAGTGTAATAACCCTTAATGACATCTTTATAACTAGTACAATGTGTTCCACTTTACTTGAGGTAAGGGGAAATATAACACTGTTGTTAAAGCATTTGACAGTGTAATAACCCTTAATGACATCTTTATAACTAGTCCAACGTGTTCCACTTTACTTGAGGTAAGGGGAAATATAACACTGTTGTTAAAGCATTTGACAGTGTAATAACCCTTAATGACATCTTTATAACTAGTACAATGTGTTCCACTTTACTTGAGGACAAGTAAAATATTCATGAAACATTTAATTTTTTATTATTATAATATTTTTTTTTATATTTTTATTTTACTTATTTCTTTTTATTCTATTTTTTTTCTCTTTTTCCTCTTTTTTTTCTATTGGATTGACTAGGGAGATCATGTAAGGGATAAATAATGGACAATATGTTACTGTCTACTGTTTATGATGTGTTATTTTGTATTGTCATTTAAAACCAATAAAAACATTTGGAGTAAATATTCATGTCACAGTTATAATGGTGTCATGACGGCCAAAGTTAAAACCAACCACATGACAGGGTAATGTAATGTTAACACAAAGCTAAATAACTTCTTTAAGTTTGATAATTAGACATGTTATGACATATTTGTGACAGGTTATGATTTCTTGGTTAATGTCAAGTTGTCATAACAAAGACATTTTAAACAATGTCAACTTTGCAATAAAAGTGTCATTATTTACCGAATGACACTTAATGACAACAGTCATAAACATTCATAAAGACTCCTTCATGTTTATGACAGTGTCATGTCAGTCTTATGCACAACCCTTCAAATAAAGTGTTACCATAAATGCACACAAGCCCCGTAAGGTCCACCATGTTGGTTTGTTTACATCTAGCTCCCACAATTCCTTGCGCTCAGGTAGTTTGGCGTGACTGGCCTGGAACGCTACAAAGTTGTGAGTCGTGATTTACATGCTCATGCCCTCGGACCCCCCTAGAGGGCTAATAACCTTCTCACCTTTTTTACCCCTGACCCGTTTTCATGCCTGTAAAGGTAAGAAACCTGATAGATGTATTATTACTTTTGGGCAAACGTGAATTGACGCTGTCAATTAATTGATGTACATTTTGAATTGACATATTTGAATATACAGTAGGGGGTCTTTTCAGGTAAAGTGCCCAGGGGCACCACACTGTCTTTTTTTAAATTTTATTTTATTTATATAGCACACATAATACAACGGACGTTGGCCAAGGTGCTTCACAAACAGTGGAATAAAACAATTTAGACATTACATACAATTACATCCAAACAAACAATGGAATATGAGCATAAGACAAGAAAGCAACAACATACTGTATCACTTTCACACTAAAGGGCTAAAAGCACTTCATGGCCCCCATGCTACCTCTAATAAGTGGGTTTTTAACAACGACTTACGGCCAACGACTTTGTAGATCTGAGAGTGTGGGAGGTTATTACATAGTAAATGACCGGCTCTAGAGAACACTCTGTCACCTTTACGTTTCAAGTTTTTTGTTACGTTGAATTTTTTAAAAAATGTTACAAAAAAAGATTTCGAAACTAAAACAATGATCTTGTAATGCACTCTATACTCGACTATAGCAGCCAATCTCAGGATCTCAATAAAGGTGTAACATGATCCGGGTTTTTTTGCTGACTCAATCTGGCTGCAGCATTCTGTATATGTTGTGAGTGAATTACAATAATCCATTCTAGAGAAAACGACCGCATACTGCGCATATACAGTAGCTCTCTCAAAATCAATTTGAGATAGCCTACAAATGGTTTGGTTTTTGCTAAGAGCTTTAAATGAAAAAAAAAAATGTTTTAACCACAGAATTTATTTGTTTATTCATTTTTAATTCCGAGTCCAAAATAAAACCAAGGCTTTTAACCTTTTCAGAGATTGTGACTGACAGGGAGGTATCTTAACTTTTAGTCATGTGGACACCAAGTGGGAATTTGGGACGAAAGCTGAAACCTCTGCTCTTTTCTCTTCATTTAGTAAAAAAAAATAATTAGCTGCCAACCAATCTTTCACCTCATGAACAGGCTAGTAGTTTACCTAAAGTATTGCTATTTGACTGTTTACCAAAAAATAAAATCTGTTTGTCATCCACGTTCCGGAAAAAATTTTTTTTTTGAAATTGGCCTAAAATTATTTGGGTCGTCCATAGAGAGCTTTGGCCGTTTTAACAAAGGAGACACAATAGCATGTTTAAAATCTGATGGACAGATGCCCTGGCTAATGCATTAGAGTGCCCCACCCTGCTCCTGCCAATCGACTGTCCTGCACAGTTCATCTCCAACCCTAATCAAACACACATTATTGTTCAAGTGATCATGAAGATCTTGGTTGCTTCGGCTGTGTTTGATTAGGGTTGGAGATAACTGTGCAGGACAGTCGATCGGCAGGAGCAGGGTGGGGCACCCTTAAATTAAAGGTAATGGAGGATGTATTAAATTACTTGCAGTGTTGTCCACTAGTGATGTGACACTGAAGCTTTATTCTCATGAGCTTAAAAAAAAACATGCGACGTTTTAACATTCACATGTAAGTTGTACCTTCACATTTAAATCTCGCTTAATATACAATATGAAGTTCCTAATAATTACATATGACTGTAATGGAGAATGTAATAACTTACTTGCAGTCTTGTCCACTAAGAAGAGAATTTATCAGTATTTTAAACTCAGTAACGCTTGTTGTCAGTCCGTGCGCGTCGTTCTCCAGAATCTCTTGCTGGTCTCGATGAAGGATTGTGGATTAAACGCATAAATGTCCGCGAGTGTATTAGGGTTACATCTGAAGCTTGCTTCCAACTCGAACGGTCCTTGCAATGAACCACTGCGGCAGCGGAGCTTGAATCATTACGTCACTAGTCACGTGAAAATGCCAAGTACTCCTCGCTGCAGACTGTAGCGCGGTGACGTCAGGTATCTACAATACGTCACGTACGGACGTCATGTATGTGTTACCGCGCATGCGCCATATTGCGGTGACAACGCATGCGCGTTACGTGGTTACGTCACGTGTTTTGACGTCCCTGTCATATCATATATAGACGAATCCGGCGAAACTACCGGAAGTACTCCGAGGTTTTACTTGTCACGTGGTATTAGACAAGGATGTCCAATATCCCCGTATTTGTTTTTACTAGTTTCCCAGATATTTGCTTCTTATGTTTTGAATAGTGGTCTTCGTGGTATCTCTATTGCTGACCAACAGATCCTCATCAGTCAGTTGGCTGATGATACCACACTTTTTTTGCATGATGCTAACCAAGTTCCGTTAGCTCTAGAGCATATCCAGCAATTCTCTAAAGCCTCGGGCTTAGTATTGAACCTTTCGAAATGTGAATTGATGTCCATCAAAGAGTGTAATTTGTCTCAAATTTGTAATATTCAAATTAAAGATCAGGTGTCATATTTAGGTATTATTATAACAAAAAATGAATTAGAAAGATGCTCTGTAAATTTTAATCCGCTAATTGAGAGTACACAGAAGAGACTTTATATGTGGCTCCAGCGAGATCTGTCATTAAAGGGAAGAATTTTATTAGCCAAAGCTGAGGGCTTGTCAAGGTTAACATACGCTGCTCTTTCTTTAAGTGTCGACACCGCCATTCTTAAAAAAATTGATACAATGCTCCTCAACTTTGTCTGGAAGAATAAAACTCATTTTATCAGAAAATCTGTACTTATGAACACCATTGAGAAGGGGGGTTTAAACTTTCTCGATTTTACCACCTTAAACAATACCTTTAAAATAAACTGGATAAAGAACTTTATTAATAAGCCCGCTTCTATCTGGAATCTGATCCCTAATGCTATTTTTTCTAAACTAGGGGGTTTAAAATTCTTATTAACCTGTAATTATAACATAATGAAAATCCCTATCAAATTATCCCTTTTTCACAGGCAAATGTTATTAGCTTGGTCCCTCATTTTTAAACACAATTTTACACCTCACTCTTATACAATTTGGAATAACAAGAACCTACTATATAAACATAAATCTATTTTCTTTGATGATTGGTTTAAAAACGGAATTATTTTTGTATATCAACTTTTCAATCAAAATGGTTTGATCTGTAATTATTCAGAGTTCTTGGTAAAGCATGGAATTCCTGTCACTCCTAAAGAGTTTGCAATTGTGGCTGATGCAGTGCCACAAGGGGTTCTCATGCTTTTTAAAGGATTTTCTTCTTCATCTCTTTACCGCTCAGTGGATCTGTGTAAGACATTTGTAGGTAAACAGTGCTTTTCTTCTTCTAAATCAAAAAATAATAAGAAAATTCGAGTCTTGTTTCAGGAGGAGTCTGTTTCTGTGCCATGTGTAATTTCTTACTGGAATGGTTTTGTAAGTGACATTCCCTGGAAAAAAGTTTGGACATTACCTCACAAATACCTGATAACTAACAAAATAAGAGAAATTACCTTTAAGTTAATTCATAGGGTTTATCCAGATAAGTGTTTTCTCAAAAGGCTCAAGAATGATATTAATACCCTCTGTTCTTTCTGTTCAGAGAAACCTGAGACTTCTTTACATTTATTTTGGAACTGCTCTCTCACAATGACTTTCTGGTATGACATTTGTGATTTTATAAAATGTTATGTGAATCCTAACTTTGATTTTACATATAGAAATGTAATTTTTGGTTTTCATGAATGTGAAAAGAAAAGGGATATTTATTTTATAAATCTTATTTTTCTGTTAGCTAAATTTCACATTCACAAATGTAAATTTTCTAATTGCAGTCCTCTTTTTGTAAGATTTAAACTTGAAATGAAAATGTACTTTGAATCTATAGAGTTCTCTAAAAACTTAAAAGCTATAAGAACAGTGGCTGCGTTTAAGGACTTGGCACTTAACCTGGAGTAAAAAGACAGAAGGAGCTTAATCTGGATTGAAGGACTCAATGGTTTTTATGTTATGACAATAATTGTGGTATATGTTTTTTTTTGTTTGTTTGTTGTTGTGATGTTTTCCTTTACGAGCATTTAATAAAAAAAAAAAAAAAAAAAAAAAAAAAGAAACTACCGGAAGTAAGCGGGCGCCATTACTGAGCTGTTGCTGGGTAGCGTTGCGCCATTGCCTTCTATTGTTTTAGTTGCAACTTGCGTCCACTGGAATAAACAGCTCGCGATTTACGACTGTCACTAACGTTACAACGTTAGCCCTTGTATAATGTCGAGTGGGTAAACAGTTTCTGTTATAAATTGTTTTAATGGTGGCAGTAAAATTTCAATTTTGAAGAGAAAACATTGTGAATACCCCGGGTCGACTACCCCTGTCTGGTGCCGTACGGTTTACACAGATTTCCTGGGCGAGTACAAGATGTGGACATTCGCGTATAATAACAATTATTTAATGACATAAGTAAAAAAATATAATAAATGTGTGATATAGTGATCAGCAAAATCTCCTCTCTTGTTATTTTTTCTATTCAATTTACATGCTATGGTCATTAAATGGCTTTCCTGAGCTGAATGTAACGTTATGTGACATAATTGTTCTCCTGCTGTTATATTGACCTCTTTCCATGGTTTAAAAACAGTAGTTGGTCGATATTATGTATACTTTCTAGCTGTAACGTTACCTTACCCATGCCCGTTGCAATGTAAAAATGAGATAAATAATGGACACAAATGAAAAACATGAAATTGTTTATTTGATTTCATTTATTTATTTATTTTTTTGTGTCCAAATGGACAGATCTTTTTTTAGTTTCCTCGGTAGCAAACGTTAGCCTAGCTAGCTTGCCAAGCTATTTTCATAAATAATCTGTAAGATCGTTTGTACCTTCATCTGTGACTGGAGGCCAATGTCTAACATCATCAACCCAACCAGTCTGCCTGGCTGTAGCTGTCATCAAGGGTGCGTTATCACCTTATCTCCGAGGTTTGTTTACATACCGGTGCATATGTCTATGCCGGTGTAACAGCTCAGTAATGGCGTCGCCACAAGATGGCAGCCTACACAAGTACGCTCGTCGGATTCGTCTATACGTTAAATGTATTAAAAACTCTAAAGTAATAATGAAAGCAGAAAAAAGAAGTACAGCACACATCCATAGTTTTAACTATACCTAAGTTAAGGTAAACTTATTTGACATTTCAGAGTGAATATTGTGTAATATCTGTGTAGTATTTTATTTAAAGTTTATTTTCACATTCTGTTGCACTTCACTTTGAAAATGACAAAATTATTGTAAACACTGGCACCTTATTTCTTATTTTAATCATTATTTATTTTTGATAGTTATAATGGTTTATTTTTGTGCATTATATAGGCTATCATAAAACATTAAACCAACTACTACATACAGTACATTGTCATCAATCTCTGTATCCAATTTTATGCATGCCAACTCAAAAAACTAAACTCATACCAGTGATAACTTTTATTTCAAAACAAATATAATTGTGTAAAAGAACAATGTACAAATACAGATAATCTCATACATCTATACCCACTAAACATTGGACGTCGGATAGACGTGCAGATCATGTCTATATTGGGTCCGTCGGTCCATGACCAATTGTGGACGTCTATTCGACGTCCAAACTAGGTCTGTTATTTGGACGTCCAACCATGACCCAACTTGGACGTCATCTTGACGTCCAACATTTGACCTTAAACTGGGTAACTTTTTTTGGACGGCATTTGGACGTCTTTTGACAGTTGCTGGAAATTATTGATTTGTAATATTTGTTTTATTTTTATTTTTTTATTTATATATAAATACGCCCCTCTACAATAAAAATAAAATCAAAAGCAAATATGGTATACAAATATCATAGAACTAAAAAAATTAGTTTTAACTTCATGATTTAATATTAATGACATTATACATTATTATAAGATGTTTTTCTTAATGCTGCGTGCGTGCCTTTGATGCGCGTGCGCGTGAACATTCAAATCACAGGAGCGCGCGAGCAGTTTGAATTGAAACAGGAAGCGTCGTGCCGTCGTCAACTGACAAACACCAACTAGCGTCTCTCGCTGTTGTCACTGCGTTCAGGTAAGTTAAGTTAACAAAATCACACAAATACTACATAAAAATGTTCCTGACACCTTTATTGTGTGTAATTGATACGCTTCTGTTGAATATTTACTTTATAGAAATGATTTTGGGTCTTCGAAAAAGTCCGTTAGCATCTCAATCGTTTTCAGAAGAGGCTAGCAGCTAAGTTAGCTAAGGTAAGTTACTCTGAAGCTGTTTTGTATAAGTTTGGGGTTTTATCTTTGTGTAGATAATAATTTTTGATAGTTTTTTTGCTGGTAATTTACAATGGGTAACGTTAAGCTAATTTATTTAGCCTAAAATAATGCGATGTATTATTAATCAGTGACGTCACTTAACGTTACAAAGATTGATTAAAAAAAGTGATTTCATGAGGAAAAAACGTCCACAATAAAAGGGGATTTATTGTTTATTCATGATAGTAATGTCATATGCATTTATTTAATAATATTTATGTATATACTTTCTCTTTTCTTAGCTAGAGGAGAGGTGAAATGCAGAAAAGAGAAATTATATATGCTTGCTTCCTTGTAATAAACCCTATGTTCTAATCCTATGTAACATTGTTGGCTGTGACACATTGCATGTTATTTTCTAAGATCATGTTGATGTCCTAAGTTACTGCACCCCCTGTCCAAGACAATCTCCACGGCTATGAACTCGACTAGTAAGCAAAACCTCAAACATACTGTACTCTACTGTTCAAAAGTTCTAGGTCTGTAGGATTTATGCTTTTGAAAGAAGTCTTAACCCCAGTTTTTTTTTTTTTTTTTTTTTTTTGTGAGATTGTCCTTAAGAAGCCTTTAGGCT